CAGAGCTCTTTGGCCACATTCTCCCTCTCTCTCTTTGCTGTCCAGCTGGTTCTGACTCATAGCTAGACCCTCCAAGCCTGTAAATTGCATAAGAGGAAACAGCCCATCTTTCTCCCTGGGAGGGGCTAGTGGATTCCAACCTCCGGAGCAATGCTGTCACTGGGTTACCACATTGTTCTTAGGTGCCGTCAATACTCAACTCATAACACCTGGTGAACCCTGTCCTGCCCTGGGCCAGCCTCATTCTTTCTGACCCACTCAAGCCCATTGCTGCGGTCACTGTGTCAGTCCACCTGGTTGAAGGTCTTCCTCTCTTTCACTGACGTTCTACCTTCCCAAGCTTGATGCCCCTCTCCAAGGCTGACCACATCAGGAGTTTTAGACTTATTTGTTGACATGAAATCATCATTGTCTGTTAAAAACAAAGGGATTGAGAACTATGCCTGGCTCTAGTAGATTTGGGAGAAGTTCAGGAGGGCCTTATCAAGGGGATCTAGGTTCGCCATCCGGGGAGAAACTCAGAGCTTTCTGAACTGTGTCCCAAGACCCCTTTAGATAGTGTCAGAGTTTGGGGTGACCACAGTTCCCTTCCTCTCCCCCTGCTGACCAACTCATCCCTCAAGTTCAGCTGCCTTGGGCATCTCGTGAGCTATCTCCCTTTAGTCTAGATAAGACCTCTCCTTAGCCCCTGCACCCCCTGCAATATGTGGTCCTAGTAAGATATTATGTATTTAATGTTTATCTCCCCTACCAGCTCCATGAGTCAATGACTAAATGCCTTCTTCACTCCTTCCAAGCCCCTGCTGCCTCAGGTCCTATGCATGCCTGGCCCAGAACAGTTGATCACTAAAGGGTTTGGTTTGGGGTGTGCGTTGTTGTGTTTTTTTGTTTGTTTGTTTTTGTTTTTTCTTTTTTTGTGTGTGTGTTGTTGTGTTTTTTGTTTAATTTGGAAACTGATGGCTTCACAAGTCCCCCCATCCATGTTAGCATTTCAAAGGCTCTGATAAGTCCTGCATTAAAAGAACTTGTTTTACCCACAATGCCAAATGTATTTGGCCACAAAAAAATGTTTCCCAGCACACCTGGTCAGATCATCAGTGCTCTAAGGAGCGAGGCTTTGGGGCAGGGGGCACAGCTGATCACTGAGTTATCCAGCTGGCGTAAAGTGGCCTGAGTTTAATTCTGGAGTCTAAAGGTGATGCCTTCTAATCAAGGGCCCAGAAAGGATTCTGTATTCCTTGTGTCATTCCCTTGCCTGGGCTTCTCAGAGGTGAGAGGACAGCACATTAGTGAGGTCCTCACAGGTTGGGGGAGTGGAGAGGGGGGGTCTGGAGCTGGGGGTGATTTCAAGTGAGCCTGTTCTAACAGTCACAGTGTCATGAAGGCAGAGTCATGAGTGTGAAGGTGTGTGAGAGAACGAATCCCATCTCGTGGAAGGGCTTAAATTTCACAAAGAGAGAGGAGAGAGGAGATGGAGAGGTGAGGGGAAAGGGAGAGAGGAGGGGAGAGAGAAGAGAAGAGAAGAGAAGAGAAGAGAAGAGAAGAGAAGAGAAGAGAAGAGAAGAGAAGAGAAGAGAAGAGAAGAGAAGAGAAGAGATGAGATAGGAGAGAGAGAGACAAGAGAGAGAAAGAGAGAGAGAGGAGAGACGAGAGAGAGAGAGACTGTTTCTACGTTGTTTCCTTGTGTCCCTTAACCCCTTCAGAGCTCAGTTTTATCATCTGGAAAATGGGGCTGCGTGCAGATGGTGTGAACTCCCAGAAACTGAGCACAGAGCCCAGCACATTCCAGCCATCATGTCCCTGGGCTCCCTCTGTCCCCAGTGGAGTGGGCAAATGCCCCGCTGGGATGCTGCTCTCTCTCTGACACTGACACAACCTTTCTGCAGACCCTGTTTCAGAGCCCGGAGGAAGGCTGGCAGCTGTACACCTCAGCCCAGGCCCCTGATGGGAAATGCATCTGCACCGCCGTCATCCCTGCACAGAGCACTTGCTCCCGTGACGGCCGCAGTCGAGAGCTGCGGCAGCTCATGGAGAAGGTAGGAGCCCACCAGGGCCCCAGGGGTCGGGGCCCCTTTCACAGTTCCTGCCCTCCACCCTGCCTAGGTCAACTTGGGCCAGATGGGATCACCGGGGCTCTTTGGAGGAAAAGCTGAGTTAGGGGGAGGAAGGTGAACCCCAGGAGCAGCATTTGAGTCTCTCAGATGTGAGCTCCAGCCTCTCTGTGCACGCGTGCCCCATGTGCCAGGATCCGTCTGCACAGGAAGGAGTTCTGTGCCTCTTGGAGGAGTCTGGGCCTCTACCCAGGAGGCTTGTGTGGGATGCTTGCTTCCTCCTCTCACGGTGCTGGATGCAAAGTGCTCCCCATATATTCTACCCTCCATGGCTGAGCCAGTGCCCTTTGCAATCTACTAGTCTTTGCTGCTGTCCAGCTGAGCGGCCCATTCGTCAGCTCTGCGGTCGCTATGGAGAACGGCCATCAGTTCCCAGCATCTACCCACAGAGGAAGCCAACATGTAGCGGAGAGAAGACTGGGTGGTGCCAGAGACTTAAACACACACCCACCCCCCTGACCCCATAAACTCCGACCCCACCCATGGCTCCGGGACCACTTTCCCTGATAACTTAGGCCTGAGCATTGATTGGACTACTGATACCCACAGTGTCTAGTGAGAGTTGACAAGTCAGTGTATTTCCACGATCACTCTCAGTGGAGGAGGGAGGTACAGGGCCCACCGGCTGGGCTGGGAGAAGCCAGACTGAGGGAATCAGAGTTCATTCATTCAGCCAGAAAGTGTGGAGCATCTACTTTTTTTTTTTAATTTGTGTGTGTGTACCCTCAAATCAGATCTGACTGGTACAGGAGGAGATTGTCCCTCCTTCTCCAGCAGAGCATCTGGTGGATTTGAACGGTGCACCTCTGGAATTTAGCGAGGCTTCCTGCCACAAGGCCACCAGAGCTCGCCGTGGAACATCTACTTTGTGGCAGTGCTGGGCACTGGAGGGTCAGTCAGGTGTGGACAAGATTCTAATGTGTCTCACCTGAAGGAGGCAGATGAGGAAGAACATCCGAGGTAGTGGTTAAGCTGTGAATAAAATGATCATGTACGGAGATTGTTTGGAAGCAGGAGTGGCATCCACTTCCAAAATAGCTTGCCTCCAGAAACTCTATGAACATGGAGAAACGACGAAAGTTATTTAAGTGTCCAGGTCTTTCGTTCATAGGGTCGCTGTGAGTCGCCTACGACTCGACAGCACTTAACAACAACAACAGCAAGGAGAGGGTGAGCGAGCTGCTACTTTTAAACAGAATTTGTCAGGGAGGCCTCTCTGAGGAGGTGAAGCGTGAGGACGAGATACAGCCATTCACGGGAAGATGAATAAATGTTGTCAGGTGTTGCCCAGTCAACTCCAATGTGCAGAGACCCCCATGGACAGCTGACCGACACCCCGCCGGCTCCTGCCCCGCCCTCACCATCTCCACTGCACTTAAGCCGACTGCTGCACTCTCTGTCAATCCACATCTTTGAGTCTTCCTCTCTTTCACTGACTTTTCCAAGCATGATGTCCTTCTCTAAGGGCTGATCCCACCCAATAGAGGAAACGAGAGAGAACAGCATTCTAGGAAGAGGGATCAGCAAGTGCAAAGGTCCTGGGGCGAGAGTCTGAGAGGGAAGGTGGGCTGGTGGCCTGAGTGTTATGAAGGCGGGGAGGATGGGTGAGGGGGCAGAGCCTCCACACCACAGTAAACAGAACAGGGGAATGATGCTGTCGTTTTTCAAAGCTCCTCCTGGCCTTGGGGGTGAAAGCAGGGAACAAGGGAGGAAGTGGAGTTGTTGGTAGTGGTGTTGTGGGGCTAGCATTGGTCTTGGTAGCTGTACTGTTGGTGGCATTGGTGACGGTTGCCAGACTAAGCGGAGAGACATGGATGGATTGTGGTGTCATTTGGAGGCTCCTCATGTTTGGCCTCATCTATAGCACCCCTGAAACGGGGTAAGGAAGGAATCTCTGCCTCCCTAGCGTCTCTGTCCCTAGGTTCAGAACGTCTCCCAGTCCATGGAAGTCCTGGAGTTGCGGACGTATCGAGACCTCCAGTATGTACGCAGCATGGAAACCCTTATGCGGAGCCTGGATGCGAGGCTCCGGGGTGCCGACGGGTCCCTCTCAGCCAAGAGCTTCCAGGTGGGTTTGGGGTTTGTTTTTTTTTTCAGAGATCATTTGTTCCAAGAGTAGGGTCACATTGGGGACTAGGTGAGGGTGGGCAGGACGGAAGAATCTATAGTCCAGTGTGGGTCAAATATTGTGAGTCGTGTCTGCATCAAAGAGACGAGGTAGGGACCAAAAGATGCTGGGCGTGGGTCCACAGTGAGCTTAAGCATCTGTGACGGTTCCATATTGGCGGGCAGGAGCTGAAGGACAGGATGACTGAGCTTTTGCCCCTGAGCCTGGTCCTGGAGCAGTACAAGGCCGACACTCGGACCATCGTGCGTCTGCGGGAGGAGGTGAGGAATCTCTCCAGCAGCCTCGCAGCCATCCAGGAAGAGATGGGGGCCTACGGCTACGAGGACCTGCAGCAGCGGGTGATGGCCCTGGAGGCCCGGCTCCACGCCTGTGCCCAGAAGCTGGGTATGTCCTATCTCTTGACCCTGGTCTCCGTACTCATCCCCAGTACAAACGGTGTGCCCTCAATCTGGGCATAATTAGACCTCTAACTTCTAAACGTTAATCCCTGATCTCCCTGCCCAAGACCAGACCTGAACCTAGAAGTTGGGAATGGCCCTGACCCTCCCCTTCCAACTCCTCCTTCCCAACCTGATTCCATATGGGCCCCGATACCTGGACCTTTCCTCTCTCCTGGTCCTCACGCCTCTCATTTTGCTAACACATCACCTTCGCCCTGCCTCCCTGGAACACCTTCCATCCCCACCTTCGTTCCCCCTGTTCCTGCCCTCCAGGCTGTGGCAAGCTGACAGGGGTCAGCAACCCCATCACCATTCGGGCCATGGGGTCTCGCTTCGGCTCCTGGATGACTGACACAATGGCCCCCAGCGCGGACAGTCGGGTGAGTGGCCCCAGGGCCCAGAGTGTGGGAGGGACAGAGCTGATGACTGCAAAGTCAGGGCTGGTGACTGCAAAGTGACTCCAGTCATTCCAGTGGCTCACTTGCAGGTCAGAGTGTTGTGGGATCCCCCTTCCCCCAGGCCTTTAGATCTTCCCTTAACCATCTAGTGATCACCAAGTGACCAAGAGTCTTCCAACCCTGTGAATGCCTGTCTCTTGACCTCCAGTGACTGTGTATAGATGGTGACTGCACACCAGGGACCAGCCCCCAATGACTGTTCACCCCCTAAGTAACCACCAGTGACTGTGACCCCTTCCCCCTCTCACCACGCAGTGACAGATTTCCAGTGACCTCTACAGTCATGATGGCTTGTCACCTGTGACCCCCAGGAAGTAAATGTCCGCCAACAGTGACCCTCCTAAGACTGACAATGGTGGGCCACTATCAGAGAGAGTGAGTATAGTAACTGGCCACCCACCATTATGATTATTAGGTTCCCAGGGATTATGGGGAAGGTAGTTTTAACCACTCAAGTGGTTAAAAGCTTAGGCTTGGGATCAGATTTCTATGAAGACGTATCACTGCATCTTAACTGTGGAAATCTTGGCCAGGTTCCTTAAATGTTTCCTCATCTTCACAACTGTCATGATAATATCAGCGCTGAAGCCTGTTAGCCCTCTAGCCAGCAGCGGGTAAGGGCATTCACGATGTTAAATAATATGTTGATGATGGCACACCAGGTCACGTCATGGCTGCAGGAGTTACCTGTGGGCAGTTTATTCAAGTCACTTCTTCGAATCCACCAGATGCTCTACTGGAGAAGGAGGGACAATCTCCTCCTGTACCAATCAGATCTGATTTGACAGTACACACACAAATAATAATAATAATAATAATAATAATGTTGTTGTTGTTGTTAAGTGCTATCGAGTCATAGGTGATTCATAGCGACCCTATGAACGAAAGTCCTCAACACTTGTGTGACTTTCATCCTTTCTCCAGATAATAATGATAAATGATAATAATAAAAAAAAAATTTCAAGTCACCTTTTAGCACCCAGTAGCTGTCTTACCATTCAGTGCCCAATGACCAGTGAAATTCTGAGCCAAATGAATCCACTTAGGGATTGCAATCTCCCAGGCCTCTACAGATCAAGCACCAACCACTTAGGGTCCATTACAAGGCACTCACTGACCCAAAGGACCTCTGATCCAACAGGACTATGCTTGGTCCTGAATGGTCACTAAGTAGCGATGACTTAGTGACTGACCATGGTTGACTGTTGATCCCCATCTAGATGGGGGAACCCCCGAGTCACCGGCTGTGGTCTCCCAGGTGACCAGTGGCTGTCTCCTCACAGGTCTGGTACATGGATGGCTACTACAAAGGCCGCCGGGTCCTGGAGTTCCGCACCCTGGGGGACTTCATCAAAGGCCAGAACTTTATCCAGCACCTGCTGCCCCAGCCCTGGGCGGGCACCGGCCACGTGGTGTACAACGGCTCCCTCTTCTACAACAAGTACCAGAGCAACGTGGTGGTCAAGTACCACTTCCGCTCGCGCTCGGTGCTGGTGCAGCGGAGCCTCCCGGGCGCCGGTTACAACAACACCTTCCCCTACTCGTGGGGCGGCTTCTCGGACATGGACTTCATGGTGGACGAGAGCGGGCTCTGGGCCGTGTACACCACCAACCAGAACGCGGGCAACATAGTGGTCAGCCGCCTGGACCCACACACGCTCGAGGTGCTGCGCTCCTGGGACACCGGCTACCCCAAGCGCAGCGCCGGCGAGGCCTTCATGATTTGCGGGGTGCTCTACGTGACCAACTCCCACCTGGCAGGGGCCAAGGTCTACTTCGCCTACTTCACCAACACGTCCAGCTACGAGTACACGGACGTGCCCTTCCACAACCAGTACTCCCACATCTCCATGCTGGATTACAACCCCCGGGAGAGAGCGCTCTACACCTGGAACAACGGCCACCAGGTGCTCTACAACGTCACGCTCTTCCATGTCATCAGCACCGCCGGGGACCCCTAGGGCCTGCCTGCCTCGGCTCAGGCTGCCACACCAGGGCCAGCGGGGCCACTCTGCCTGTACCCCTTCCAAGTACCTCTCTTCCTCTCCTTCCCTACACTTCATCTTCTTCCCTGCCTCTCTGCTGAGCCCTGGTTCTCTGCCTACTTCTATCCATTTTTTAAATCTTTTGTCCCTTCTCCTTTATTGATCCTTCCTTTTGATACTCCATTTGTCTGCATTTTCTTTTTTCTTTTAATGTTCCTCTATCACTGACTCTCGGGTTCTCTGTCCCCATCTCTGCTTACCTTTGGCCTCTCTCCCTCTCTGCTTTCCCCACCCCTTCTGCCCCTCACCCCCTTCAAAGGAGTTGAGTGCATGGATGTGTTCTTCTTTTTTTATTTAACTTTTTCTTTCTGGGGTTGCCGGAATAAACGGGACCTTTGACATTTGATGCTTTCTTTGGTTGCTGAGTCCAATGCAGGAGAAGGATGGGCAGTCTGCTCCCGTGAGATTTACTGCCTCTGAAAACCCGCTGGAGGGTCAGCGATGAGCCGGTTCCAACAGCACACAACAGGGGTCTGGTAGGGGCAGGGGAGCATTAGCAGGTCAGCTTTAAGCTACCTCCAAGCTGAAGACTCTTTTCCAGTGAGCTGGGTCCCTTATTCCATGATTCTGGTTTGTGAAACAAGCTTTGGAGGATGGGGAATGACCATCACCCCTCTTTAGGGCAAGTCCTTTGGAAAAAATGGGTGGAGAGACCCAATCCAAAACACTTTCGATCGAAAACAATTTGTTTAAAAGCAATTTGATCAAAACAACCGAGGAGTTTATCACAACGATGAAAACTGGCCTCAAATGAATATTCTCCATCACCGGGTTTTCACTTATTGATTTCACTGGTACATTTCAGAGCAGTCTAGCAACTTTTTTTTAATGGGTTTTTAACAATTTGGCTGCTTTTAAGTATTTGGATAGGCTCCCCTCCCCCTCTTTATAATTTCAAAATCATTTTAAGTGAGTCACATCTAACTACTAACAAAATACTAGAAACCATATAAAGATGCATCTAGTAGTGCCTTCAAGCAGCTCAGGTTAGTGGTAAGAACCTGTGCTGCAGTTCCAAAGGCAGAGGGTTCAAATCCACCAGCTGCTCTGCAGCAGCAGGATAGGCAATCTCCTCCCATGAGATTTACTGTCTCGGAAAACTCAGCGGTTGGGTCAGCTCTGGGTTGGTTCTGGCTCACTGGGGTGCACCAACAGCACCAGTACCTTCAGGAGACACAGCTACACTCTCTGCCTGGAACCTATTTGGGAGGGACAAGGGCAGAAATGGACTCTGCCTATGACAGGAGAGCAGAAAGGGTGTCAGGACAAGTCAAATCCTAAGGTCTAGATGTGTGGTTAAAGGGAGCTGGTGTCACAGAAAAAAAAGACAGGGGTCTGTTAACTAGATTGCTCTGGTGGTACTAACAAGGCAAGGCTAGGGCCAGGGTGGTGTCACGGTGCACAGCAGTGGAAAAGAGGACAAGCAGGCAGAGAGTCATTTCTGGGGTCAAATTTTCCTCCCGTGGCTGAGTAACAGCCAAGAATACAGTGATAGGGTGATGCATTGTGACTGACCCTCAATGTTCCCCCCCATTCGTGGTCCCCCCACTGAATCTGGATCAGAAACATCATGAGCAGAGCTAGCCCCCACCCTGCTGATGGAGGTGGTCCCTTCCCCCCTCCCCATCTCTAATTAATGGCTCCCTGATTAAATCATCTCCGCTCCGTGCTGGGATCTCCGGGAACATGGACACCGAGGCCATATTGGGAACGAAACCAATGAATAATAAATGTGACTGCCTAATGCACTCATTTAAAACCAATTTCTACAGAAATCTTCAAGAAAAGCAATTAATTTCCATTTAAATTAACAAGTTTGACAGGGAAAAAGAATCGATTCTTGGATTAGCACGTTGAGAGGCACTTTGCTCCCTACCTGCTTAAATAAAAATGGGGCTGCATCCCCTCCTTCAACTTAACATTTCTATAGAGGCTGATTGCTGGGGGAGGCAGTTAACTGCTCTGATGCTGGATCTTCCCAAAGATATGGAGCCTGAAGGCTTTGAAGTTAAACAATTATTTGTTTAGAATACCGAGATCTGGAGCTCCACATCCTCCCAGGGACAAGAGGACTGGATGAGGATATGTCTGTCACATCACTTATTGGCATTCCTTTTACACACACACACACAGAGGTGTGACATCTTGGGGACTCCTTACATTCTGCTCCAGCCAGGGATGAATAGGCAACGGGCCCCCACACCTCCTCTGAAGGGAGAACAGTTGCCCTCTGAGTTTTGAGCTGACCCCTGATAACTTCTCACCAGGGATGTGGCTACCATGGGAAGCCAATATCCAACCTGAGGGAATAACTGTACTATCTCAAGTTGAGGGACCCACCAGCTGTCTCACTGGTCACAAATGCCTAGGTGACTGCCTATGACCCCAGCACGAGCTGCAATTGAGTCAGAATCAATGCTTGGTGACTAAGCCTGCCAGACAAATGGCCCTGCACAGGGTCTTCAATGGCAGATTTTGAGGGAGGCCACCAGGCCCTTCTTCCAAGCAGCGTCTGGGTGCACTGCAACCTCCAACCATCCTGTTAGCTGAATGCACGAACTGCACCACCCAGGGACTCCCTGGCAGTTGGGAGGCAGCTCTTAGGGGTGGTGTTTGGCATGAGAGGTACCCAGTGAGAGGGAAACCAGACAAGACTACGTTGTCAACATGCCTGGGATTTACAGTGTCAATTTCAAAGCAGGAACGGGCGGGCAGGAATGTGGAGCAGGTGAGGAACCACAGCCACTTAATAATGCATCACTTGGACACTGAGTGGGCTCTGGGGGCATGTTTATTCTACAGCAACTTTCTGATTAATATTTTGGCCACTGCAGATCCATAAAGGGTACCACAAGGGTAGCTGCACGGTGGCAGCATCCCCGGTGCCAGGGTGGAGACCACCACAGGTGGTCAGGCACTGCACCCCACAGCCATGGGGAAGCTCCTGGGGGACCTGGCCCTTTCTGGGGCCCTGCATGCTGCCCAGGCCCATTCCTGGTGACCCTTCTCCAACCATTCACAGCACCAGGTGGTGTGGGATCATTCTAGAGCCCCCCAGCCACTGGGTGTAAATGGGGCTGCTGTCAGCAATGGAGAAAATCCTGTCTGGGAGTGCAGTCAACCCACCACCTCTTCCCACCCTGCCAGAGCTGAGAGGAAATTCATTAAACCTTCCTAATGACAAACGCCGGCAGGCAGCAGGCGGCAGGCAGCGCAGCGACTGCTTCAGAAGCCAGCCAGATGGGATTGGGCAAGGTGATTGTTTATGAGGTGGTGGAAACAGCCCTGTGGAGGCCTCCCTGGGGGCTGTGCTAGGCAGGGCTTCATTCTGCTCCCATCTCCAAGCCCTGCAGCCCAACATCCCATGACAGCAGCTGGTCTGCACCGAGGGCGTGGGTGGGGTGAAGAGGAGTGCAGAGTGAACCAACACACTGACACCCTCAATACTGCTGCATCCAACTCCCAGCCTGAGCCCAGGTCCTGGCACACGGGCAGCTAAGGAATGATGACAGGCCACTGGATCCCGCTAGTACCTAGGAAAAGGCCCAGAGCATCAGCACACCCCAGCCCCCACCCAGGAAGCCCCCCCTACTCTTTGACCATCACTCCAAATGATCCCAACACAGTCCTCCCCATAGAGGACTGGGCAAGAGACTTGTTCTGAGGTGCCTGAAGTAGCACCCCTCCCCTCCAAGCCTCGGGCCCCCTGCTGTCATGGTAACAGCATCCATGGAGGATGCAGGGTCTGGCAGCTGGACCTAAGATCCACCTGCCAGAAGCGTTAGTGGTGATGGGAAGAGGCTCCAGGTGTGGAGTGTGATTACTTCTAACTGAAGAGCAGGCTGTGTGGGGAGGTGTAGGGTAGGTGGAGGGGGTCTTATGCAGACAGGAGCCCCCAGGGCAGGTCTTTACTTGGCTCTCCCAGGACCCCCTTCTTATCCCCCAGTTCCAGCCTTGATCTGTAGCACTAGGAGCTGTAGAGACAGACCCCTGCCTTCTTGAATTCCACACTGGGGGTGGTGTGCCCCCACTGTCCCCACAGCAAGCACTCCTGCTAGTCTACAGCAGGGAAGATTCTGGTTGCGATGTTCCCAGACCCTGATGAAGGGCTGCTTCCCAGGGGAGGGAACTGCAGCCTGGATACCTGGGTACCCAGGAGATGACACTCTCCACCCCACAGTGTCCCCTCATGCCCCACCAGGGTGGAAATGAGACACAGGACAACAGAGCAGTGGTTCTAAGATTTAATATAGGATGGGGAGGGTGCTGCAATGGCCCTAGGAGGGGCGCCTGCAGCCAGGGCACTCAGGACCCCCAAATCAAGCGTTTGCGCTTTTGCAAATGAATAGAGGAACAAGGCCTAACTCTAAACCACCACTCCAGGCCCACCTGCCCCCGCCCTGACCTGGGGGAGGGGGCGGCCAGGAGAGGCCCAGCTGTCTGGGCTCCTCTGCGAGGACCAGTCACTAACTGCCCCTTGTCTGGGAGACCCCATCCCCCCAAGCCCACGGCCTTTCTGAAGTCAATTCCTTAAGATACAGAGGGGAGCCTAGCAGGGATTGCCCCAATAGTGGGCAGACAAGGGCCCCAGAACCCCAGGTCTTGAAGAACCCTTCCAAGCCATTTTGGAAACAATAAATACTGTGTGACTTGAGCAGAGAGGAGGAGTGGGTGGGCCAGCGCCCTGCCCACCCCGCCTTGCAGACCAGGCCCAGCTGCCTTCGCCTCACTCGGTGCGCAGGATGATGTGGATGCCGGAGTCCGTGAACACAGGCCCGCTCATCTCCCCTGTCCGCAGTGCAAATGAGGCGTCTTCAAACGGCTTCTGCATCTGGCCTGGGAGAACCACGAGGGACGGTGGGTGGGGGCCAAGGCCAGGCCAGCTGGCTAGGATGAGGCCAGGGTGGGCAGAGTGAGCAGATGGGCTCATCTGTCACTCTGTTTACGGCCCTGTCATGGTGCTGGTGCAGCCCAGTCGGGGGTGGCAGGGCCATTAAGGAGGCCCTGGGAAGCCTAGGACAGCATGAGAAATGGCAGGCAGAGCTGCTGCCGCTACTGCACTTAGAGACATACTGCAGTGACAAACTTGTCTCCCCAGCCCCTGCCACATCATCTGTCACACCTGCCTCTTCAGGGGTGGCCCAGGGATGGAGGGAAGCGGAGCCAGCCTTGTGCCCCACCCACTAGATAGGCCGTTGCCAGGGCTTCATCTAGCCTGAGGTTAGCTCTCGGGGGCGGGGGGCAGCTTTATGCCCAAGCAGATCACAGGAGCTATCTTAAAGGTCCCCCCAGTCGGCAATGAGCCCACAGGGACCCAGGCTCTGCTCCCCTCTCCACTGTGCACCACTCCATCCCCAGCAGGGCAGCCTCTGCAGTTGGAAGGGACTGCTGCCACCTAGTGGACCCAAAAGGATGTGCCACTGTGGCCACCCCGTAGGAGCCCAATTCCGTCCCGCCCAACTTCTAACCCTTGGGAGGGTCCCACTCGTGGGCACAGGGAGTCAGTTCCCCCCATGGCTGGCGATGGTCATTCCTTGCACACCTCTGCTGAAGGCACCCAGGTCTCCCCTGGCCTTGGCTGAACTGCAGTCGCTGAACTGTGAGGCCAGAGACTCAAAGTCCTCCTCTCCAGACTTGATCTTCTGGATGTAGCCTGCAGACAGGGGACAGAGCATCAGGGCCCAGCCAGGCGGGTGCAGGCGCCAGGGCCTGATGGGGTGGAGGTTTTCAGGAATGGAGGGCATCAGAGATGGGCAGCACTTTCAGAAATGTGCTGTGCCCCTCTGCCTGGCCGCACATCTGTGGACACTGTGTGCACAAACACCATGCATACCTGCTCCTACAGCTTCCCAGGCACACAGTCCTTCCAGACACACGCTAACCGACAGTCACAAACCACTTCTCCCTTACGCTGTGTGCAAACACCCATCACAGCTGGGCTACAAAGATCTGTGCACACCCGCACGATGTGCACCCTGCTGTGTGCACACACGACCCCACGCCGGATCACGGGCAGCATGAGGTCTCACAGCCCCCAGTCCCTTGCTCTCTCACACACTCTTACTTGTGAACACACACATGTAATGTGATGGAAGAGAGGAGGGCATGGCAGGGCGAGCAAGGGGAGGCTGCACCCAAAGAAGGCTGGGATTCAGGGCCCTGGGGCAGCTGAGGACCAGTTTTCAGAGGGGTCCAGAAGAACACAGGAGGCCAGGGCTGAAGTCCAGTTCAACCACAGGACTGCCAAGTGCTCAGCCTATGGGCCTCAGCCATCTCTCTGCTGACAGTGGGTCGAAGCAGAGGTGCTCACTAAGGCGCCGGGAGGTGGCCCAGGAGACCTCCAGAAAGAACAGAAAGTCCTCCCAGTGGACTGTGCTCCAGACACCCTGTAGGCCACTGGGTCCTCGAGAGGATGTGCTGGCTGAGCCCTGGACTCACCCTCTGTGCAGCCCCAATTCTCCCTTAGGTGAAGGGAGATGAGGACTGACAGGGAGCAGCGAACACAGGGTGACGGAGTAATGGGCTCCCGCAGAGGATGGGAGACGGCATTCTAAGTACTGAGCATTTCA